AAATAAATAATAATAGAGAAAAATCACGGAACTCCAAGAAACTGGTCATCAATACATTTTACATACTCTACAGCATATTTTATCCTTGTCAGTGGGTAAACGTACAATTCAGAACAATGTTGACAACTGTATATAACACAGAAGCTACCAGTGAAATATGGCAAACACATCATATAAACTATTAGCTTTTGCTTCACTGAAAAGGAGTTTAGCTGTCTAAAATGGTGTTAGCCGAACTCTTGAATCTGCATATAGCCCATTAAGATGGCAATGCTCATCGCTCCATGCATTGTATTCAGAATGAAAACCACTAGAGAGATGTTCTCAATAGACGTCTCTTTTTTGATATTTCTCAGCTAGTCTTCAGAATTTTTTATTTCCTTTCAGACCATATACCACACACTGGTCAATTTCTGCTCTCGATTACGCCAGTGTAAATCTGCAGTCACTCCTCTGAAGCCAATAGAGTTGTTTTGACAACAGGATTTGACTCTGCATTCAGGAGGTACACACACATATTGTACATTCTTTTACAGAAATGAACACTATGATAATTTTAAACGGCAGAATGTAGGTGTAAATTACACCTATAAAAATACTGGGGCAAATTCTACTTGCAGTTACACCAGTTGCAATATCATTGATTTCATTACTATTGATACTTCAGTTGGCTTCCATGGGGGTTCACTGGTGAAAACTGAACAGAATTTGGACCTTTGGGCTGATTCTGATCTCATATACACTGGTGTAAGTCAGAAATAACTTCACTGAAGCCAATGAGTATACTGGTATGAAATCAGTGGGCCAAATCCTCATGAGGTGTAAATCAAGATAGCCCCAAGAAAATGATTGGCGCTATAGTGATTTACACCAGCTGAGCATCTGGTGCCTTTAAGCTCTTTAATTTATGTGGTGCTCTGTTGCGATAGGTAATTTTTAAAGATCTGACTGAAAGAAAACATTAAGTAGCCATGTCATAACACCCGAAAGATTCATATTACTTGACATGTACACACTAGACTAGAGACATGAGTGGTTAAATGTGTTCAAGAGGAGAAAAAAGACAATGTGATGGTAGCCGACGAATTAACATTTCTAGCTCCTGTGGGGATGTATGGCTCCCAAATTGTCAGCTCACAGGTGCGGCACACTGCCCTGGAACTACAAGGCCGAAGCTGTTTACACCCCCGCGTCTGTGTTTGGGAAAACTTCTTGGCTGATTTGATCATCACCCTCGCAGCTGGTGTTCACGTGCACAAGAGATGGGTTTGTTATCTTATGTTGATGTACACTGCATGCCTTTTCTATGAGCAAGAGTTTGACCACTAAGAAGTGTTGTAAACAGAGTAAGCACAGGAAATAAAAACCCCAGGAAAAGTTTTCCTGGGAGGCTTTTTGCAGGAGGCTTGTGAAGCTCTCTGACTACCACAGACCAGGCGTTCTATTTCCTTTCCTGTGTCGTCACCACAAGCTCCAAAAGACAGTGAAGGATGCAAAATGCAACAGATGGAAAAATTATGATGCCCAGTATCTTAGGTGGGGTTTTTGCTCTTATGAGTAGATTACAGTCATTATTTCCCATATAGGATTCCATGTGGTATGCGTGCAGAAAAAACAAAGCAGGGTATGTCAAACAACGGAACATACTAGGACCCAATTCTGGAGTTCTTAAGCAGACAAATTTAATGTTCAAGTCAATTTTGCCTACATACAGATGGCGAGATTGGGCTCTAAGGACTTGTCTACACATGAAAATTAATACAGAGTAAGTGAAGGTGAGAATTTAAAGCAGATTAACTATTCCTGATTAATTCCATGGGTAGTCGCTCTTATTCTGGAATAAGAGTGCTGTATGGATTAAGCTATTGTGGAATAAGACACTCATGCTGGAATATAAGCATCCACACATGGAGTTAATTGGGAATAGCTATTCTGAAATAACTTCCTGTGTAGACAAGCCCTAAAATGATCCAGTTGTGTTGCACACTTCCTTTCTGGTTTGTTTGGGTTTTTGGCAGGCATCCCACAAGAACAACAATGGAAACTTTGCCTGTTAGGATGTCAGGATTAAGATTTTTGTCCATCACAGACTAGCAAACTGAACATGTTACTCTATTCCCTCCCCGACAACAGTTAAAGCAAGTTTGTTTATCCACAGCCCTTGCCATTAAATTCTGTTCTTCTTCATTGGGAAGGAGATTAACAGCTGAATGAAAATGTCATTTATCTGACAAAGTGTTTTTGTTCATTTAGCTAACAGTATAAAGATCCCTTCCCTCCCCCACCCTAATGGAGAAACTACATAATTTGTTTATTACCCTATCTTTGCAGAGGACTTTTTTGCTTTGCTTTTATTTTCCAGCAGCCAAACAACAAATAGGACACAACTGACGCTAAGCAAACATTTTAACAATGCCAATAAGCTCAAGATACAATGTAGTTATATTTATATATACTTTTTTTCTTAAATACATCGAAACACTTGTTTTCAGTACATATTTATATAAATGAAACCCTTGTGGCATTTTATGTGTGCTTGACTCAGGGTTTCCAAGAGGAAATCAACATTGTGCCTCTCAGTGGGTTATAATAGAAACCCAATCACAAAATAAAAGCAAATTAGTCTTTTTTCTTTGCTCACCCTAAAGATGTTTGCAATGCTCAGATTGTTAATTTTTTTTAACATATAATATTTATATGCAGTTAAAATGCTTTGGCCACATTTAAATAACTGAAAAATGACAGAAGACATTGAGAAAAAAAAAAGCAATCTGGCTCACTGAAATAATTATGAAAATAGCTTCTTAAACTATATCTCCAATAAGTAAGCAAACAAGTTGTAGATTTATATCACCAGACACACTGTTCAAAGGAAAGGCACTGCCTTGAGAACTGTGCAAAATGTGGCAGTTTCAGTTTGCACGGGATTCGGCAAAACTTACTTTTACATTTCAACTCATGTAGCTCTCATCTGTTGAATTTTCCTTTGAGAGAATCTGGAAACTGAAAACTACGTTCATCAGAACCTACTGAGTTTTGTCTGGCTTTGTGTGAAAACCATATCCTCCTCCATCTCCTATGGGAAAAGACAGTGTTTGTGAACCTCAGCAAATGTTTTGGTCAAGTTTTGGGTTAGTAAAGAAACCAAACTGGCCTGGTTTTGCAGTTCCATTGTGACTGGTTCTCATAGCCCTAACTGACACACAGGAATCGTTAATGAAGAAGGAGTTGTAAATTTACTTTCTACATTCTTTAACCTGTATATATACCTATAGCTAAAAACGAGGGCACAGTTCTGTGTGTGCATGTCTCTGTATTGTGTACATACAGACAATTATATATATAATGTGCCTTTACTGCACACATACATGCATAGACACACACTGGCACATCATCTAAATATAAAATACCAGTGTGTATATCTTTTATTCCACTACTTTGTTAATGAAAAAATATCCCTTCCTGGTGACGCCATTTTCATTTTTGTAACCTCAGAACATTGCATTTGCAGTTTCTATTCCTCATGTTTTATTACTTAATGGAAATTAGTAAGGCCCAAATAAAACCATCCTTAGGCCTTACTCAAGCAACTTCCATTGATATCAAGGGGACTTCGACTGAATAAAGATGCCACCTTAACCCTCACCCTTTCAAATTTAAACTATGATATTTCAATTAGTAATTTCCCCTTGTACTACTTTGAAGTCCATATGATTTGTAGAAATTTTACTAAATGTTCTGCTTTCCTCCATTGTCTGCATGGACATCAGTATATATGATTAACTCTAGTAATTTCCAATTGTGAGTTGTTGAAACCATACAATGACTCTACTCTCATTTTATTTTATACCTCACCAACTTTTTCACTTATTAGAGTGATATATGTTTCATTAAGAGTAGGGGGACTGGAGGATCTGCTGTTGTAATAGCAGATATTCTAAACCTCTTGTCATGATTTCTTATTTCACATGAATGAAAGGACCATAGATTAATGTTATTTGCTACTCACTGAACTGTTCCACTCTTTAATAGAGCAATTTTTCACTGTTGAATTGGCACCAATTTTTTCATCAGCAGAAAACTGTTGTTCTGTGTTTATAGCTGCCTTAAAGAGAACTTGATACTGCACCTTCATATTAAACAAGTCAATGTTGCGTCTGTATCGACTTATTACTGCAGAAAGCAAATTTCTATAGATGAGGTCAAATCCTGCTCACCCTACTCACATGAGTAATTCTACTGAATTAGGGCCTGGTCCAAAGCTGATGAATGGAAAGCTCCCATTGACTTCAATGGGCTTTGCATCAGACCCGTGAGTGGGATTTTTAAAAGTGCTCAGCATTGCCTTAACTCTGCTCCTACTGAAGTCCATGGTAAAACTCCCACTGGCTTTGATGGGATTAGAGTTAGGCCAATGCTGCGTACTTTTTGACTTCAGCAAGCGCACAGCACTTCTGATAATCCTACCCCAGGTGAGCCAGGTGATCAGGATTTGGCCCATATTCTGCACAGGTTACAGACTATGGTTCTGAATATTTGCTGTCTGCTGATGATACAAGAGTTGCAGGCATGACTTTATATTGAATTTATTCCCCAAAGGCCAATAAACTGATGACCGCCAATGAATGCAATCAGTTAAGCCACTTAACAGATTAAGTGCATTGAATTAAAACGTTAGGGTCATATACTGCCCTCAGTCTGCAGCAAAACATTCATGTCAGTGGGAATTCCCTGTGCAGACAGAGGGCATTATATGTCCCTCCAGTCTGCATACAGCAAATTGCTTGGCACTATTAATAACCTTAGAAGTAAGACACAGAAATTATATTTGGTACTTTGTGGAAAATGTGCAAGTGGCTTTCTCTAGTCGACCACTAAAGAAATCCTGTTTTGCTCTTCAAATGAAAAACATGAGGGTTTATTAACATAGAAAATTATAATAACCAATGAAAACATTTCCCTTTGCCCACCCACTACTGCCCTAAACACCTCAGAGATTCAGTGTTATAGGAAGATCTGTATGTTACAATATATTTTTTTCTAATACAATTGGGTTTTCTTTTTAAATCTACTCAATGAACAACAAATATATTGCAGTAGTATCAAGTAGTATCAGCTTCGCCTTCATCCAGGATATAGTTGAGTTTTATGACAGTGCTGATAAAGTCACCAAGTTCTACAAAATCAGCAGTGATAATATTGATACCACTTTCTCCTGGTTTCTGAGTTCGGACCCAATGCATCATTGCAGGAAGAGCCCTGAGGAGGAAAAGGAAGAAAAGTTATTTATAAAGAAGCAAGACAAGTATTTTGAGTGGAGTTTTATAAAGCACTTAGCATTGACTTCACTTTGCTCCCCATGGTAAAATGCCCACTGACTTCAATTAGGCCACTGCTGAGCACTTTTGAAATTTCCACCCTTTCCTCCTTTAATTCCCTGTGTAGAATACATCTTGATTATATTTCAGTTTCTTAAGGATTAATGCAAACATTTAATACAGGGGTCAGCAACCTCTGGCACGCGGCTCGCCAGGGTAAGCACCCTGGCGGGCCGGGCCAGTTTGTTTACCTGCCGCGTCTGCAGGTTCGGCCGATCGCGGCTCCCACTGGCCGCGGTTTGCCACTCCAGGCCAATGGGGGCAGCGGGAAGCTGCGGCCAGCACCTCCCTCGGCCGCGCCACTTCTTGCAGCCCCCATTGGCCTGGAGCGGCGAACCGCGGCCAGTGGGAGCCGCAATTGACCGAACCTGCGGATGTGGCAGGTAAACAAACTGGCCCGGCCCGCCAGGGTGCTTACCCTGGCGAGCTGTGTATCAGAGGTTGCTGACCCCTGATTTAATAGAAACATGTCATGCAATCCCACAGCAACTGGTTAGGAAGGAGAAATAACAGAGAAAACAAGTCGTACATGCTAGGTTGACACATCATAGAAAGCTTTGAGAAACATTCTGCTTACATAGTGGATGCTGTCTATTGTTCTCACACTTCATTCTTCATTGTTTCACTTCACAAAAACAAGACCTTTGTTTCCCAAAAGTTCCATTGCTCCTGATAGTTATTTCCCATCAAGATTTAGAGTTATATTAAATTTTAGTTTGGGACACTGGAACACTGCTGAATATCCCTTTCTTTACAAAACTGTATATCACACATTCAATAGTCAAGTCATGGGTTATGTTCCATCATGAGTTTGTGTCTTTATGATTAGTTAGTGGAAGAAAATAAGTGCAGACTTACTGGTTGTTTTTGAGACAGGGTGGAGTTATTAGGTCAGGCACCCAGAGGTGGGATATTGGACTGCAAAATGTATCTCTGTGTGTATCTTTATAGCCTAGAGCTCTCTGTGAAGCCATGAAGGCTATACCACGATCTCTAATAACCTATATATGGAGAAGATTTCTGATACCAGATGACTCTTTAATCCTACAGATAAAGGCATAACAAGATCCAATGGCTGGAAGATGAAGTTAGCGAAGTTCAAATTAAATAAATGTGCACATGTTTAACAGTGAAGGTAATCGATCATTGAAGCAAATTACCAAATTCTCCAGTATTTGGAGTCTTAAAATCAAGATTAAATGTCTTTCTAAAAATATGCTCTAGTTCAACCACACATTACTGGGCTAAAAGGAGGAATTCACTGAGTGAAATCTATGGCCTATGTTATGCAGGAGCTCAGACTAGATCCCTCTGGCCTTAAAATCTACAAATCTGTGACTCCCTCCTGGATTGCACCTGAGGTAGTAATTTTCCCCTATGCAAAGCAAGTGTAAAATTCTGATCTGGTAGCAATACCAATCAGGCCCAATGTTTTGAATGTAAATTAATCTATTCCTGACCAATGGCGTTAGGCAAAATAGTAAGAAAGCAAGCAGAATGGATGAAGGATACAGATTTTACTTATAAGTGACTTAATGACTTTAATTATAAAAGTATTCACTGTTGACACAAAGGTTAATCTGGATCCTATAAAATATTACAAAGAGAAAAGCATAGCACTCCCAGGCCTTGATTCAGATCAGAAAAGCACTTAAACACATGCGAAGTCCACCTCTATTCTTCTTCACACAGTGCACAGTCAACCTGTGGAACTCCTTGCCTGAGGAGGTTGTGAAGGCTAGGACTAATACAGGGTTTAAAAGAGAACTAGATAAATTCATCGAGGTTAAGTCCATTAATGGCTAATAGCCAGGACGGGTAAGAAATGGTGTCCCTAGCCTCTGTTTGTCAGAAGGTGGAGATGGATGGCAGGAGAGAGATCATTTGATCATTGCCTGTTGGGTTCACTCCCTCTGGGGCACCTGGCATTGGCCACCGTTGGCAGACAGGATGCTGGGCTGGATGGACCCTTGGTCTGACCCAGTATGTCCGTTCTTATGTTCTTATTCATCAAAGCATAAAATTTTATTGTATTGATTCCAATAGGACTTAAGCAGATGCTTAAAGTTAAGCATGTGTTCAAGTGCTTTGCTGAATCCAGACCTAATGGAGTATCTTCGTAATTTTATTATGTATAAATCTGAAGAATTTTACTTGGTATTGTTGCATGAAGAACCATGAGAGATACTATGAAACTGGAGAGAGACCATATTGTGATTCCAGGAACCAACATTTGAAAGGAATTTACACTAATCATAGGTGCCGACTCCATGTGTGCTCCAGGGCTGGAGCACCCATGGAAAATAATTAGTGGGTGCTTAGCACCCACTGGCAGCCAGTTCCCCCCTCACCCCCGAGCACCTCCCACCCAGCTGTTTTGCGGTGGTGCAGGAGACTCTGGGAGGAAGGGGGAGGAGCGGGAACGGGGCACGCTCAGGGGAGGGGGAGGAACTGGGCGGGAAGAGGTGGGGAAGAGGCGGGGCAGGGGCGGGGCTTGGGGGAAGGGGTCAGGTGGGCGTGACCTGGGGCAGAGCAGGGGGTTGAGCACTCCCAGGGCCCGGAGGAAACCGGCGCCTATGACACCAACCAGCTTTTCAGGAACTGGACAAATCATAACCAGAGTGACATAGATGAACCAGAGCATGAGGAAACTGATTAAGGGTGGCTCAAAGGGGTTGAAAGCACTCAAAATGTAGTGCCGTATTGAAATGTAAATGATTTTGCTGAACACTGGAGAACTACATTGGGCAGAATTCCCATGGAGGGCATTAAATGGCCTTTCCTTTTAATTCTAGCTTCCTATTTGAGCTCAGAAAGTCTTTTAGATTTAAAAGTGAGGGACCTGATTCTATCTCTAACTAGTTTGATATAGGTTCTTTATTTCTTAAGTACCATCTGCCTTTGATATTTATTTCCACTTGAGGCATAACATCTTCTCTTTGTGGCATACAGACTAACACGGCTGCAACTCTGAAACCTGATTATAATTTTGTAATTCTGTTCCCGACCCAAGAGTTTTCTTATCATCTAAGCCAGTGGTTCTCAAACATATTTGATCATACCCCCCCCCGTTTGTTTTGTCTGTAGTAGTTTACGCCCCAGCCACACAGATACATATATTGATAAAAAAAAAATCAACATGCAACTGTCACGAAATATTACAAACAGAAATGCATTGATTCAAAACAGAGCCAACAATCCACTGTAATAAGAGCAAAACCAAAACTGTGACTGTGGTTGATACTTACAATTAAATATGCACACCGTGACGTAGCAAACGGATTAACGTACAGATGGCAACGGCTTTGTATAATACTGTGCAAGGTTAACGGAAATCTGTCAAAATGCACAGTACCATCTAGAGTCAAATGCACAGCGCTATCTGAGGAACTGATATGTCTGGAGGAATCAGCTTTGCTAGTAATTTATTGCTGTGAGTAAAATGTGTGCCGTAAATTTTTTTTCTAAAGCTTCTCACCCCCCGCCCCCTCCTGTGAATACATTCAGTGCCCGCCCCCCGGGGGGCCTGTGCCTCAGTTTGAGAACCTGTGATGTAATCTATGTAATAAGGTGCCTATCACCTTGATATTTATAATCAATGTTCTTTTTCTCTTCCTAGGTTCAAATCAATCTAACATTTACTAAACTGGTATGCTTCTTACTTTTGGTTAGTATTCTATTTCAGGTTCACCTGAGCTGGTGTGCCTTGACATGAGACCCTTTCAGGTTAAGTGCTGGTAGCTAGCTGATTTCATTTAATATTTCAGACTGAACTTGACTGCACCATCCCCAGTCACATACTGTCAGATAAATTGATAAGGATCTATTGTTGATGGATCTAGAGCAGTGGTTCTCAACTTATTTATGCGGCCCACAATGTGTTACCTGGGCCACAGGGGACAGGTGGCAGGGCAGCGGCAACCCGGACCCCTGCTGTGCGGGGCCGGCCGGCTGTCCACTCCGGACCCCAGTTGCACATCTGCCCCGGACCCTACGGGGCCAGCTGTGAGCCCCGGACCTTGCAGGGTGGGCCAGCAACCCCAGACCCACGACCCCATGGGGCCAGCCAGTGTCCTGGACCCGTGACCCTGTGGGGCCGGCTGGCTGCCCCGGACCCCGCGGGACCACACACAGCCCCAGACTCCAGACCCCCAACACCTCAGGGCTGGCCAGCAGCCTCAACCCTTGGATCCAGCCATGCGGGGTGGGCCGGCAGCCCCAACCCCACCAGGCTGGGCAGCTGGGAACCCAGACCCCACCACGCTGTGTGCTAATTGGGCCGTGGGTTGAGAACCGCTGATCTAGAGAGCTTGCAAACATTAATCATGTGTAGATTAGACTAGACAGCAAATAAAATAAAATAAAATAAATCTTTGCCTAGCAAAGCACAAGACATCTCCATATTAATGCACAGAAAAAAATAAAAGCAGCAAAATACATGGGGCCCAAATTCCGTGCTGGTGTAACTCCACTGACCTCAAGGATTAGGCTCGGGGTATTTTACAAAAGTCTCTTCCGTTAACACTGCATATGATGAGAAGTTCACAGAAAGGGCAGTACATTTCCCTCTTCCCATAATGCCACCTTGAAAATGGCTCTACATCAGTGGTTGCAAGAAACTGTGTGCATTGTTTCGCTTTAGTTCAAACACTCACACATGCTAACAGCAATTATGGGAATAATCCTGGTTTAATGTTCCTCGGGGTCTCTTTGTGATGGCAATACAAAACTTGTTTACCCTTCATTGTAATTTCCAGGCTCTGCATGCCTCAAACTAGTAATTGTCCTCATTAAGGGTTTTAGTCAGGAAAATGCAGACCATGCTGTGTGGCAGCCACCCACATGTTTTTATGCTCACAGAAACCCAGTAGATACCATAGC